GCAAGAGGCCAATCCACACACACGGTTGAGGGATTTGATTTATTGACAGTTCTGCACAGAAGGGTGTGCTGGTTGGCAAGCCCGAAACCATAGCAAGGCAATTCTACCCACAAGTAACTTATCTCCCTGACCCTGGGACATCCCGCGGCCACGGCCGGCTGCCCAGGGTGGTGGCACCGCCAGCTGCCGGATGCAGACAGGGCTGAGCTGTGGGGAGGCCGCGGGCACCGGGGCCGTGCGGGAGCTGTTGGCTGGGGCCGGCTGGAGCGTCTGTGATGGGAAAGCGGGGGAGCCTTGTGCCGGGCCCAGCCGGTTCCAACTAGTTCCAGGCAGCTGCCGCCAGTTGTGTGCCCCCCCCCCGCTGCTGTCCTAGGGGTGCCGGCAAATGGCCCATTGTGACAGCGGCGCATTGCCGGGCCCTTTGTGATGCAGGGCCTCATTGGGCCCCGCGAGCCATTGTGACAGTGCGAGGCCCTTTGTGATGCAGGGCCTCATTGGGCCCGCGGGCCATTGTGACAGTGCGGGGCCCCGCCCTGCCCGGGAGGCTATTTAGGGAGGGCAGGGGCCCGGAGTGCCCTCTTTCTCCCAGGAGAGCTTCTGTCTCAGGAGGCAGCATCTCTCTCGGGGGCCTCAGCGGCAGAGGAAGTAGCCGACGTTGAAGATGTGGAAGACGAAGCAGTTTTCCAACTTGCAGCCACGCAAGTGGCTGTCGAGCTGGCAGAGGAAGCACAAGGTGAAGGATGGGGGAGTAGAGAGCTGCCTTGGCACCAGGGCTGGGCTTGCGGGCACGGAGAGGCCTGACGTGCCATGGCAACCACCTCCATCTAACACCGCCTTCTCCTCCTCTTCCTCGCCACAGGTGCACGACTGGCAGACGCAGGCAGCAGCGCAGGAAGAGGAGAACAGCGCCTCTGCTGCTGCCGTGGCTGAGCAGGTGAGAGCAGCAGGGCCAGAGAGCCAGGCAGCTGCCCCACACAGCCCCAGAGGCCGCGGCCGCGCTGTGCTGGGCACGCTGCGGCGCGTGGCACGCGCCGCCCGGAGCGGGCTCGCAGCTGGGATCCGGCGGCGTGGCCGGAAGCCGGAGCCGCAGAGGGAGGTGGAACCAGGTACGGAGGTAGCGACAGCAGGAACCTCCACAGCAGCAGGGGCAGAGAGGCAGGACTCTGCCCTGCAAAGCCCCTGCTGTCCCCCCAGCCCCTTCTCAAGCCATCCGGAAGCTCTCAGTGGGCAGTGGGCCGGGGCAGCAGCGGGGGCAGTGCTGGCAGTGGCAGAGAGCGAGGATGAGGCCTGGTCCGAGGACGAGAGTCTCTGGGATATCTCCAGCCTCTTAGAGCTGTCAACGGGGGATGAAAGCTCAGAGGGAAGCTGGAGTACTGGGCAAGAATGTAGCTCAGTGTCCCTCCCGTGCCAGGCATGGGCAGAGCCCGGGAACTCTCAAGCAGGCACAACCACAGTCCATGGCCCAGGTGTCAGTATCACAAGCTCTTACACCAGGGCAAAGACCCCCACCCCGGACGGGTTTCCAGACCGCTGCGCCCTCAGCCCCTTGCCAAGTGACCTGGAAGCTCTCAGTGGGCAGTGGGCAGGGACAGGAGCCAAGGCCGTCCTCCCAGTGGCACCGACCGAGGATGGGGCCTGGTGTGAGGAGCTCTCAGACATCTGCAGCCTCCTAGAGCTGCCCCAAGAAGAACACAGCGGAGGCCAAAGCTGGAGGAGTAGAGAAAAGAGGCTCCCCGTGCCCATGCCACGTGAGGCGTGGTCAGAGCCCTGGGACCTTCAAGCGCCCACACCGACAGCCCGTGCCCCAGTTCGCCTGTGCCTCAGCAGCCCTTACATCAGGCCACAGGCCCCGACCCCGGACGCCTGCCCCCCCAGCCCCTCGCCAAGCCAGCTGTCAGCTCTCAGTGGGCAGTGGGCAGCGCTCCCGGACATCTCCAGGGAGTCCCGAGGGGAAGAAAATGCACACCAACCGCTGTCCCAGGAAGAAGACAGCCAGGACGAGGAGCTGTCAGAGAAGGAAGGGGAAGTCATCAAAATCTACACCATCTGGGTCAAGCCCTCCCTCATACCGGTCCTGCTGGAGCCTCAGCCTGCTTGCCGGGAAGGGCCCAAATGTCCCTGCTTCATCTGTGCAGAGGCGGCAGAAGAGGCAGTCGGGGACCTGCACAGCACATCTCCTGCCTCGGCGGGTCCCAGGCACAGCCAGCCAACAGCTGCTGCCCCGCAGCGCCCCACAGGCTGCTGCCCCGCCGTGCTGGACACGCTGCAGCGCATGGCACGTGCCACCCTGAGCAGGATTGCAGCTGTGATTCGGCGACGGGGCCGGCAACCGGGGGAACAGCGGGACCTGGCTCAAGGCATGGATCCAGCGATGGTGGCAACAGCCCCAGCAGCAGGGGCAGAGAGCCAGGCAGCTGCCCTGCACAGACCCTGCTGCCCCCCCAGCCCCTCGCCCAGCCAGCTGGAAGCTCGCGGTGGGCAGTGGGCAGGGGCAGCAGCGCAGACGGTCCTGCCCCTGCCACAGACCGAGGAGGGGGCCTGGTGTGAGGATGAGAGTCTCTGGGACATCTCCAGCCTCTTAGAGCGGTGCCAAGGGCAAGAAAACACACACCAAAGCTGGAGTACTGGGGGAGCAAGTAGCTCTGGGTCCCTCCCATCTGAGGCATGGTCAGAGCCCTGGGACTCTTCCTCAGGCACATCCACCTCCACCTCTACGGACTGAGCTGCTGGGGGCAGTCTGGGACGTGTCCTTACCACCTGCAGCTGCACTTGAAGGAAGAAGGCCCTTTTTCCAACAAGACAAAGCGCAAAGAAGAGCTTCGGGGAACTGCAGGCCATCAGGGGGCCTCGCTGGGAGGACGACTTGCTGGCGTGGGACCGACAGTCTTTTAAGCGTTGGCAAGTCGAGCCCTCGCCTCCAGCTGTCTCAGCACAGCGGCCCTCTCTCTTCAGGAGGGCGCTCCGGGCTCTGCGCAGGGCATTCCGCTGGCCCTGCCTGGCGGCACGGGATGGCAGCTCCCAGGGCGTGGCGGCGACTGCGCCGACATCCACCTGATGGCCGGTCACCAGCGGTGTCGCCCAGGGCTCAG